CTTTATTACAGGGATATTTATTTACCCCTCTTTGGATTTTTTAAAGAAAGATTTTATTTGTTTAGTTATTTGAAAGTCAGAGAGAGAGGGAGAGATGAAGAAGGAGGGAGAGCTATCCTTCACTTCCCCAACAACTGGGACAAGTGACAGCCAGGAGGCAGGAACTTCACCTGGGTCTCTCATGTGTGCCGGTGCCCAAGGACTAGCTGTTCCTTCACTCTTCTCCCAGGTGCATCAGCAGAGAGCTGGATCGGAAGTGGAGCTGCTGGGACTTCAACCAGTGGCTGTGTGGAATGACAATGTCACAGTCTTCCACTTAATCTGCTATTCCACCTTACTGCACCGCACCCTACTTTGGATTCCTATATTCTATTTGTACTTTTCATAACACCACACAACTCATTTTGGTATATTTTATCTTTTTATTTTCTTCCTATATAATTTCAACCCAATTATTATGTTTTAAGATATTGCCAGTATTTTTCCCTAATGTGGGCAGAAATTACTTGTTTTTAAAACAAAATAGACAGTTTGAAATTTAAAGAACTATTCTGTTTTCATATTTACTAGGTATTGATAATCTACAAATGTTTATTGTGTACCTATTAAAAGCTAAGACATCTTCTAGAAACATAAATGCCGTGCAAATAAAAGCCATGTCTTAGGTGCTGGCTTTGTGATGTAGCTGGCTAAGCCATGCTTTATATCCTGATGCTCCACTTCTGATGCAGCTCCCTGCCAATGGCCTGGGAAAGCAGCAGAGGATGGTCCAAGTGCTTGGGCTCCTGCTACCCACACAGAAGGACTGGATCAATCTCCTGTCTTGGCCTTGCCCAGCCCAGCATTTGCAGCCATCTGGGGATTGAGCCAGTGGATGGAGCATCCCTCTTTGTTTCTGACTCACCCCCTCTCAATAATTCTGGCTTTCCAATAAATAAATACAGTCTTTTTTCAAAATCCATGTGTTGGTCATTTTGAGATTGTATTTCATTGTAAATACAAACAGACAAGAGAAAAGAAGGAAAAGACCTGTGGGGATTTTGTATCTTTCTGTCAGCAGAGTGGCTGTGTCTGGACTGCTTCATAAGATGGCGTTAGAGAGTGGCTAGGTCAGCATTGCTTTATAAGATGACATTTAGGTGAGTAACTGAAACAAGTAAAGAGGTGAGCCAGTCTGACCATCGGAACATGAGTCCTGCAGCAGTAGGAACGGTGCGTGGAAAGGCTTTGAGGCAAGCAAGGCTGTGGTGTAGCAATCAAAATGAGCAGATGGGATGGGAGAAGCTGTGAATATCGCTTCTTGCTCGTGAGGATGGGTTGGCTGGAGGATGACATGTTGGATTACTGTTTTAAAAGGACCATTTCCTCGAAGTTCTATACTTTACCATATTCCTTTGCATTGTTTATTGTGATAGCTTAATATTGTACCCTTGTTATGTATTTTTTGTGGAATTTTCTTTAAATATTTTCTTGTATTTCCATTTTAGTTCTGTTTCTCTGATACACTGGCTGCATAAATGTTAGATCACCTGTTTTCTTCTTCTGTATTGGCTACTCTTCCTTTGATTTCTTTCTTATTGTAGTTTTATTTTGGGTTTTTTTTTCCCCACCCCATAAATGTTTCCTTAAAGTTATTTTTTATTGTAGTTACTCCATGAGCATCTTTTTCCTAGATGTTTTAATCATAATTTTTATTTTCAGGGCACATTTTTTCTTTTCCCCCTTTTTAACCTGAGATCTGCTGTTTTCTTGCTTTTTTTTGGGGGGGGGGTGTATGTCTCACATCTTAGTTGGAATTTTATCATTTTCATCTGGAACATGTAGTAACTTTTGGGGGCGAGGAGGAGGAGAGGAATGATTTTCTGCCTTCTGCTTTTTTTACACTTCCTTACATGTGCTTGAATGCCATGATGGTCTGTTTTAAAATTTTTCTAGTAATAAAATATAAAAATGCCTCTACTGTTGATTATTTGGAGATGATTTCTGGGCTTATAGAGCCGAAGTTATGTTCTATGGTAGAGTTTCTTATTCTGTTAAGGAGTGGGTTCTTTCAACCTTTGTTTCTCTGTGGCCCAGCAAATGTTGGGATGTAGTTTCTTTCCTTTAATTGACTTAATTCATAGATTTATTCCTGCAAAAAGGGATTGGGTGATTTTTTTTTAATCCAGTCCAGTATTTCCTGCTTGTTTTCCAGGCTAGGTGGATTTGAAAGAAACCATGATCACAACCCAGGCTGTACATCAGTTATCATGGAATCAGTGTTTGCATTGCACTTAGTTCTAATAACTGGTGACATGTCCTACGATTTCCAGCCAGAGGTCAACTTCTCTTGGACTTTTCTTGTCACTGTATCTGATCTGCATTTGATTTTGTCCAGGTTTTTCATATATTTTGACTCCACATAACAAATGACTCATGTATTTTGTAATTTCAACAGGGAGGAATCTTCGTATCTGTTCCTATTTTCTGTTTCTTCTCTCGTGATTCTATTTCTTGTCACACCTGGTACTTTCTGATGGACTGACAGATTGTGTATCAAAAAATAAGTGTTTTGAATGATGTTATCTTCTTCCAGAGAGGCCCTGCCCTAACTGCCGACAGGTTGCTGGTATAGAAATATCATCTGATCTGTTCAGGGGCTGAGTTCCTTCAAGGTGCAGTGTCTGTAATAGTGACTTGTGACTTACTGCTGCTCCCAGTGGTAGCCCTCAGAACCACTGCAAGTCTCAAGGCGGCTCTCCTCTGCAGGTGGTCTGTGATGCTTCCCTCCTGAGTACAGTGGTACTGCTGGAAACTAGTGTGCTTGGTGGAGTTTGTTTCCACTTGGTACCTTGGCTTCCTGCCCTGTGAATATTAAGCATTTGACAAATTCCCTGAGGAGAAAACTCCTGGTGTTTTGTTCAGTCTCTGTGCTGCTTTTTCTCAGAGATCTTGGTCTGATTTGGCTGCCCTCTGCTCTGAATTCCTGGCCCCAGCCCTATCCTCCAAGGCTGGAAAATGCCTTGGGGCTAAAAGCAGCTTGCACAAGGTTGACTCATCTCTTTGACGATTCTTCCTTTGGCCTCCTTGTAACCAAGCTGCCATGAAAGTCCTCTGCTGCCTTCTTAGTGATTGTGATTTATTTTTTATTTTTTTGGCTGTTGTTTTATCTTTAGTATTTTTCTGAATGTTTTAGTATTTTTCAGTGGGCTTCTAATGTGTTGCAAGCTACTCCTCCATAGCCAGAAACAGAATTTTTCTATTTGCATGAGGCTTTATTAAGATGGGGTTTTGTATTTCTAATTTGAATATGAGGGTATTTCAGAACGCTGACTGAAAAACGGAATTACCAGATAAGTTTATTGGTGTTCAAAATGCTTTTTTAAAATCCACGTATAATCTTCTCAAAATTGGCATCTTTCATGAGGTGTTTGAAAATCCTGTGTACATCCTGTTTCTTGTTGGTCACATTTCCAGGATAAGAAGGGATGCTAGTCACCTTGATTCTGCGTTTTTAAAGTTGAAGGCAAAGGGTGTATTCCTTTTATTGTTTTTTATATTCAATTCTTATGTCAGATACAATGGAAGTTTGGGATGTGTATTAGAAAATTGAAATTGTGTTCTGAAAGAAACTCCTAAAACCAAGGGATCTTAAATCAAGAAGCAAAATAAATAATCTGTATGAAGAATAATTTGGAATATTTGATAGATGTCAGGCTCTGATTCAGAGTTGAATGCATTATAAAAACCTTTATATAACATGGTTTTAAATTTGCTGCCATTTTTTATCTAAAAAATTGGAAACTATTTTACAAGGGTTTAATGTAAATACCTATTAATATAATGAAGAAAGAATGTCAAGGTTGTAATCTGCAGGTTAGCGATTTCAGAAAGTATATAAAAGGGTAAATGATTGCATCATCAGGTCGTTACCTGAGCTAATTAAAAACTTGTTGGAAGTTTAATTGTTAAAATTAGTATCAGTTATCCCTTCAGTTAATGACTTGCTTTTAGAGAACCCTGCTTTTAGAAAAAAATACCTAAATACCTTTACTCAGGTTTTCAGTTACAGCCATATAAATGTGAAAAACTCCAGAATATTGACTAATAGAGAATGATTTGATTAGATCATGGTGTTTGAGTTCTGTGGAAAATGAGTAAGTTCTTTTTAACATGCTAGAGACATCAAAAAAGAAATCCTGTGCATTAATACTACAGTTCTATAATAAAATATACTTGTTTACTTTGATAATAGCAAATGAATCTCTTGTAGCCTCTGTGTTGACTCTCCTTTTGAAAATATTACTGCATTAATTACATATATTTTTAGGTTTATCATTTTATTTGAAAGGCAGAGTTACAGAAAAGGAGAGACACAGAGAAAGACAGAAAGAGAGACTCTTCTAGCTGCTGCCTTATTACCCAAATGGCAAGAGCTGTGCTGATTCAAAACTGGGAACCAGGAGTTTCTTATTGGTCTTCCACATGGGTGCGTGGGCCTAAGCACTAGGGCCGTCTTCTGCTGCTTCCCCAGGCCATCAGCAGGCAGCTGGGTCAGAAGTGGAGCAGTCACGGCATGAACCTGCACTGATACAGGATGCTGGTGTTACAGGTGGAAGCATCACACCATGGTGCCAGCCCCTAATCTTAAGATTTTTGAACTCCAAAAGAATAGAAAACAAAAAATGATGAATACTTATTTAACAAATCTAATGAAGAGATTATGGCTTGACAGAGGATTGGGGATTGGTCTTCTTCACTGTGTACTTACATTTGAAATATTACTAGACCATTACATGAATGAGTGGCTTGAAGTATGTAACCATGATGGTCTTAGTTTTATGTTGGAAAGTGTTTTTGTAAGACTTGGTTAAGAGGTTGCTTTAATTTTTAGTACTATTGTTTGTGATACGCTCACTTTCTTTTGTTCTTCTAAGGCTGCCTATTTCCTTCAGAATTTTCAATGATGTGAAAGCAATGTAGTCTGAAGCTGCTGTCTTTACAATGAACTTTTCTTTTAGAACCAAATGGTCAAAGAACTGGAGGCACGTGTCCAGCAGCTGACTGGAGAAGCTGAGAACAGTAATTTGCAGAGGCAGAAGTTAATTCAGGAAAAGCAGGAACTTGAAAGATGTTACCAGATCACATGTAATGAATTGCAAGAAGTGAAGGCAAGGTATTGTCTGAAATGAAATATCAGATGCTGCTAAAGGGAACTGAAATTAACTCTGAAATTTTCCACCATAATTGGTCATACCCTACACATTTAGTGAGATTTCTATCCTAATTAGTGCTGTTTATTTATTTGTTGTTATTGACATAAAAAGGCTAATGCCAAGAAAATGTTGATGAAAATATTAATGTATCAGTGAAAGAATGCAGTTGGATTTGGTTGATTAAAAATTGCACTTAGTGATACTCTAAAAATATTTTAGAAATCTGTTTTATTTCCTTTTTGGTTTTAGACGCAACTTACTACATAAGGAGAAGGATCATCTTGTAAATGAGTATGAGCAAAACATGAAATTATTTCAAACCAAATATGATGCAGATATAACAATTCTGAAACAGGAGCACGCTCTCTCAGCTTCCAAGGTAATATTGATGCTGTTTGATACCTCCACCCAAGTGACTGCTTTATTACGCCTGTAGTCAGAGATAGCCGCATAAGAGCTGATTGTTTGGCATTTGAAATTACTTTATTTTTATATATCTGAAGCTTCAAGAATTTAATTGGTATTTAAGATTTTTAAAATGCTGAATACCTTATGGATATCACAACTTAACTTTTTAGTCAATTCTGCTACAATCATTAATTCTTTGATGTCACAATTTTTAAGAGTTAACATGAATTATGAGAAGAACTGATTCATTGTGTTAATAATACATTTTATAGCATAACTTTATATATTGTTATTGTTTGACATCTTGTTTATACTTTATAAGTAAAACTTTAAAATAATTCTTTAAGTCTGTTGTTTTTAGGTTTATATAACATATTATGCAAAATTTATATTTTTATTTATATTTTTAAAGGATTATTTTTGTACTCTCTTAAAATATTTTAAGTAAGATTTATACATAATTTGAATTTTCACTGTGCTTTCTTGGGGAAAGAGAAGAAGTATGATTTTTCAATCAATATCTAAGATGGTGCAAAATCAATATTCTGTGTTTTATTCTGATAATCCTCCTAGGCATCTGGTGTGATTGAAGAATTAGAACAGAACATCTGTCAGTTAAAACAGCAGTTACAGGATTTGGAACTTCAAAGAAAGCAGCAACTAAGAGTAAGTCTTGCACATCTACAAATAAAAAATGTCCCTAACTGCTTTTTCCTCTTTTTGAGTTATGAGAGTTAGTTTAATAATAAGCCTCAGAAATGCAAGTAACCACTTATGATTCTTGAATTACATTGTACGATTATTTATTTTACTCTTTTAAGCTAACCTATGTAGAAGACATGTACATAATTAAACATCATAATATTATTTTTAAAATAAATTGAAAGTTATTTTTTGAGATTATTTTAACAAATTTTTATTTAAGTGTTATTATGTTAGAGTAATTTATTTTAACCAATTTTTATTTAAGTGTTATTATTTTAGAATAATTCACCACTTTAAAAATCATTGTCTGCCAATATTTATGTTCTGTCTTTCAGTCTACTACCTATCCACTCTGTTTACATCCTTCCTATTTTTTTCCATGTTTTAAAAGTGTTAATACCTGGGCCCGATGCAGTAGCCCAGTGGTTAAAGTCCTTGCCTTGCATGCACTGGGATCCCATGTGGGTGCTAGTTCGTGTCCAGACTGCTCCACTTTCCAACCAGCTTCCCATTTGTGACCTAGGAAAGCAATCCAAGGTGGCCCAAACTTTTGGGATGCTGATCCACATAGGAGAACTGGAAGAAGCTCCTGGCTTCTGGCTTCGGATCAGCTCTGGTCCGGCTTCTCTCTGTTTCTCCATCTCTCTAAATCTGCCTTTCCAATAAAAATAAATCTGTTTAAAAAAATGCTAACGAAGATCTGACTTCAAATTTATCATTTTCATGTTGATTTAGTTAATATTTTAAAGGTAATTGATCTTTTATAAAAGCTTTATTTAATTATGTAAAAGGCAGAGTTACAGAGAAACAGAGAAAAGGTTGAGAGAATAAGAGAGTGAACCAGAGAGAGAGAGACTGGGAGAATACTCCATCCGCTGGTTCGTTTTCCCAAACGACTGCAAAGGCCAGAGCTAACTCAGTCGGATGCCAGGGGCCAGGAGGCAGGAGGCCTTGTGCCAAATTCTGCTGCTTTCCCAGATACATTATCAGGGAGCTATGTATTAGAAAAGGAGCAACCAGGCCTGGAAGCTGTGCCCCTGTGGGATACCAGCGTGGCAGGCAGTGGCTTAACTCTCTAATGCCGTAACACTGGTTCCTAAAGTGACCTAATTCTAAGGATTGGGAAGATTCTCTTGCACTGTGTAAATGTGAAGGAAGTGACATTTTCAGATGACTAAGGGTAAATGACTTGTGATGTAGAATTACTGAAGTTTCTACCAGCAACTTAGAAAATTAGGTAGGTAGGACACTCTAAAATATCTGCAAAACCTTCAAGTAAAATTTGGCATTTTGCAGATTGTGGTGAATAGATGAACAATTGTATTGACTGCAGTAGTAATTTAAGGCATAATAAACTATTTGTTATTTACAGGATCAAGAGAATAAGTTTCAAAATGAAAAAAGTCATTTAAAACGCACCTATGAGAAAAAGGTAATCTTTTTGGTGGGGCACTATAAAACATTTGAAAACGTAAATAAGTAATTGGCATTGATTTATATAAAACTATAGATTGTAATGCTTGAGGAATCATTTGTAAGTTAATTTCCAGTAACCAGTAATCAAAGTTTTCTTTGTTATTTTCATATTAAGTTTTTTCTTCAACTCAATTATTGATGTTCAATTAAAATACTAAATTAGAAAATAATAAAAATTATCATTATGTTAGCTTCTTAAAACAATACTGTGAAATTGTGTTTTTCTTAAAACAATACTGTGAAATTGTGTTTTTCTTGTACAGTTTAAAATATGATATAATCAGTGGTAGCTGTTTTCTGTTGTTTCATGTTTGCAATAAGGACTTTATATATTTAACCTAAGAATACAAAACAAGGAAAGAATTGGTTACACCTTTGAAAATTAGTAATTATTTCTTAATATTTAAAATAGTGAATATTTCTACCAACATTTGTTCGTATTTCCTTGTTATTAGCAATTACTTGGGAGTTACTAATATAACAACACCTTAGGCAGAGTTTTATAGGTTTGTGACCATGAAACTACACTGATGAAGTTGCTGTTCACTAAGACACAGTATGTGAAGATTGATTGTTAACAGTAGAGATTTTGTTGCTGCTCTTAAAATTGCTTGCTGTTTTCACATTCTGAAGTAATCAATTGGTAAACTATACATATCATGTGAAAAAAGGAAAACATAGAAATTAAACATAATCCATGGCACAAATTCTTAAAGCAGTTTGTGATACCACATTTAACCACCCATATGGCCACTCAGTAGATATCCTTTAAATGTTTATGTGATGTGTGGTGGGGGGATCAGACCAGGTCCTGCAGCGAGGCCAAGTGTGAAATCAGCCCTCGCCTCTGCCCCTGCAGGAGCTCAGTGTCTGGGAAGAAGGTTTCTGTAATTTCTCTGACATGTTCTGACCTGCACATGTGCTCTTCAGAATTTTAATGTATTTTCTTATTGGTGCAAGATCTTAGGTATATTTCAGGTGTTGTCTTAAATATATTTCATGTCTCTAGGATGAGATCCAAACAGGACGGGGGGGGGAAATGCTGCTTTTGTTGAAATAAACAGGTGGGTTTTTAAAAAATTATTATTATTTGTGCAGTTTCTACTTGCTGAACCATGCAGCTTCATAAATATTTTACTAACCCAAAGAAGAACCTGTATTAGCGTAAGCCTTCCTCCTTGCTATATAAGGCATCCCGATCCTCTGGGTGCACTTGTTAGTCCATTGTTTATTCTTGAGCCTGGTCTCTGGCTTCCCGTCTGTAAGGATCACCTTCCTGGCCCCTGTGCTCAGCCGTCTTCCTGATGATGCTGTGTGTGTGCATGGCAAAGGGATGGGCTGATGCTTAAGAAAAAGACAAGCATTGTCTCATTGTACGAGCGTAGTCTTCTCCCCAAGTTTCTGAAGTCCCACTGAGGACTGTTGGGTGAAGAGATTCAAAGTCTTGCTCTTACCATTCTATTTTTGGGGGATTGTTAGTCACTAATTAAACTAAGGCTTGTATTAAATCCCACTACTTGGTAAACATTTACAAGAAAGGGAACAATTGAGCTATATTTTTTATTTATCTTTATTCAGTAACTTTCAGACCATTCCTCTCTATCTCACTTCAGGGTGCAGACTTTTTACTTACAGCTGTTCCCTTTCTGTGAAATATCAATTGGTCCAGTTCTCTAAGAAAAAAAAAAAAACAAAGTCTGTTAATTGTTCTTAACCAAAATAAGACTTGTTTAAAATGATAGCAACATTTGACAGAACAATAACCATATTTGTTCATACTGCATATGTTCCTAACATTATTTATATTACAAGAAAGTGTTGCTTAGCATACCACTTTTTGTTTTATAATTAATCCCATCATCTTCCCCCTTTTAAATTGACATCTGTTCTTCCTTCTTTATTAAACCTGCTGTGATCTCAAGCCTTGAAGATTTGATGTCGTGCACCCCCCTCAGGGAATATCCTTTTTGACTGCTCAAAGAGCTGACATAAATCTTACATAGCCCTAGACTGTGTAACTGGAGAGCTCCATGGGATGGATGGGGCTTTTGTTTGTGAGGCTGTGTTACAGGTGTGCACATTCAATAACTTGTGGTATAAAACTTGTTTCTGAATATCTGTTTGGGAGAGGAAATGCCATGTGAATGATATTATTTCCTCATGCCTGTAAGAAAGAGGCAGGAAGGCAGCATACCATTGCAGCCTGTCCTTGAGGTAAAAGAAGCAGCATCAGATGCTGTCCCTAATTTAAGCACACACATATTATCCAGTGGTCCTTATTGATCTCCAGTGGCTATGGCCTGCTCTTAAGCTCTTTGAACATCAAACAAATAATAGGTAGTAAAACGAAATGTCATTGTTTGATGAAGTGTCCTAATCTGCTAAATCAGGAAATGGTTAGGCTAAATGATTTTACTAGCAAGGAAACACCTGCCTCCTACAAATAACGTATTGCTTGTTTTCCAAACAGGCACCACAGACTAAAAGATGGTGCTGTTTTCACTAAAGAAGTCAGTGGGGCGGATTTGAGGCGTGCATAGTCTAACATGTGCCACAAGTTGAAATTCCTGGCCTCATGTCACTGCTTAACAAATGAGATGCAATGTCTGATGGAGTTCAGAGCCTTTAAAAGCAGTTACTTCAGTAGATAGCATTTCTGTGTACATCTTTGACTTAAACTTAAATTAACAAAACCTTTATACAACCTTACATATATCTGTTAGTATTATTCTGCTACTAATAACATGGTTTTAAGTGGATGTTTGTCTATTCTAGAGTTTAACAAAAATGCAGTTGTGTAATAAATAGCTTTGGGTAAGCCATGGGATCCAGTGTCCTGCATTTCCGTATTGAGAAGAGACTGGTGGAGCCGTGCAGCTGATCGGTGTGTGGGCCAGCACTGTTCTGTGCTTTGCATGGTGACCTGGCTCTGTACTCTGTGTCTACTCCCTGACACATGGCAAAGTCCATGTTTACTTACCCAGGCCCCTTCTTTCCTGATTATTTTCCTTCTTGGGATGCCATGGAGAAAAAAAAAATATATATATATATATACACACACACACATACAGTAACTGCTTAATAAATGTGATTATGACTACTTAAGCAGTTTATTTATATCCTCATGTTTAAGAATATATTATATGTTCTTGACTATATGGTTAGAATTTTCATGATTTGCCACTTTGAATTCGTTTTTTATGTTCACGATATGTAGTTTTAAAGGATTATAAAGCACTTCAGTTCAAATCTTATTCTATACTACCATTAGTACATTAAAATGAAAAGTTTGCAAATAGCATTATTTCTCTATTTTATCTACTCGTTTTAAAAATATATATATTTTATTGTTTTAGTTGAAAAAGCAGATTTATAGAGAGAAGAGACAGAAAGATCTTTTATCCCTGAGTTCATTCCCCAACTGGTTACTGTGGCCAGCGCTGAGCTGATCCAAAGCCAGGAACCATGATGCTGGGTCCCAAGGCCTTGGGCCATCCTCTGCTGCTTTCCCAGGCCACAGACGGGGAGCCAGTTAGGAAGTGGAGCAGCAGGGACATGAATTAGCACTCACATGGGATCCCAGCAGATGCAAGCCGAGGACTTTAGCCACGGAGCCATTGTGCTGAGCTCATTCTCTCTCTATTTCTCTCTCTGCCCAAGCTGGTGTTCTGATGTGGAACTCTGCTTTCCTGCAAGGTGATTTAAGCCATGATGATATAATGCCGCCCCTAGCATTCGCTGTCTCTGAGTTGTTTGTTCTTCTTCTTCTGTAAAATGTTCTGTTTTTTTATGTTGAAATGAATAATGGATTTTGAAAATCTCAGCTGGAATATTAATCCCTAATTTTTGTTTTCTGAGGTCATATGCAAAGATTTTTAATTACCTGGTAATTATCTTTAACCCACAGCTATATATAATATAGGTAAAATGTAAAAACATAGTATGTATACAATAGAGGTATATTGAATTAAGAAAAATTCAATGCAGAACAGCATCTGTTGACTATTGTAGTTTTGGTCAGGTTGTGCTGGGTGCACAGGATATAAAAATAAATGAGAAACAGCTTCTAGTTTTAAGGAACCTCCCAGCTTAAAAGTATATGTGTTCATAGTCCCTCGTTTTCCACACAGAGTTTAGTTGTGTAGAAATGGTTCTAACAGCTTTAGAAGCAGAAAATTAGCTCAGATGCTTCTGTTAGCAATCTCACTGTCATCAAGAAGTGGCAGCTGACAGTGTGACACAGGTTAGATTGAATGAGGAATGATAAAAAGCACTTAAGAGAGGGACAGGCGTTTGATGCAGTCATGAAGTGGCTTGAATTCTGTGCTGGAGGGCCTAGGTTGGGGCTTCTTTCCTTCTAATCCCATTTTCTGCTAATGTGCCCCACGGAGGACAGCAGAGGGTGGCTCAATAACTTGGGTTCTTGCCACCAGCATGGAAGATGCAGCTAGGTTTCCTCCCTCTGACCTTCAGCCTGAACTAACTCTGCTTTTGAGGGGTATTTGGGAAATGATACTGCTAGTGGAAGATCTCTTTCTTTGTTTCTCTGCTTTTCAAGTGAAGTTTCTTAAAAACAAAAACAGAAACAAAAAACCCAGACACTAAAATACCTCCAATCCATTTCATTTTATTTATTTTTTTAAAGATGTATTTATTTGGAAAGTGTGACAGAAAGAGGGAGCTAGGGAACGAGAGTGAAAGAGAAAGAAGAAAAGGAGGTAATTGTCACAAGAGGGTTGTAAGGAAAGTAAAAGTAAGACAGTGGATGAAAAACCTTTATAGGATCTGGTTGAGTTAAAAAGGATGCTATAAGGAATCAACAATTTGAGGGAAAAACATCATTATCTCTCAGGACACAAAGGAAAGATACAAATAATAAAAAAAATAAACATTGACTTTATTGATTTGAAAGGCAAGCTGACAGAGAGAGGGAACAACAGAAAAGAAAAAGCCATCTCTCAACCACTGGTTCAGTCTCCAGATGCTGCTTTGACTGGAGCCAGGCCAGCCAAGAGCCTGGGACTGCATCCGCCATGCGTGTGGCAGAGGAACAGCTATGGGGCCATCTCTGCAGCTTTTCCAGGCGTGTTCATAGGGAACTTGATCCAAAGAAGAGCAGCTGGAATGAAATCAGGGCCCGTACAGGATGCTGGCAGATCAAGGGACTTAACGTGCTGCATTACAACCCTGGCCTCTCTTTATGAAACATTGCAAATTTGTCTTTTAAAATAAAGGGGAGACAGGCCTCAAGTCTGTGGTCACCTACCCTGGTCCACATGTCATTAGCATTTTCTTCTTTGCTCCTCATATTTTCTTTGTTTAGCGTTTGCCATTTTAGCCCGTAGAAACTTTCTGATTACATGATGAAAAATTTGTTCTTTATCCTCCTGTTTTCAAGCAACTGATTTAATTAATTATATGAAAATATCAAAGTAAAAAATACAAATAGATTATACTGGAAATCAAGAAAAACAGGGTTTGAGCTGTGTGAGTCCCTGTGCAGACTGCAGTGATGGTTAACTGATCTGGGTTTGTCTTGTCATGTGTGTTGTCTTGAGTGTGTGCATGCCCACTGCCTCTGGTTTTCTTTGAACCTCCACATAGCTGTCCCCAGGTCTGCAGTGGGTACTGCCACCCCACATGGTGACTTGAACTTTCTTGTCTACCAGCTTGGCTTCACACCTGCAGTCATCCTGTATGTGCAACCATGGCCACTGCTCTTCTCCCGCCAAGTTCTTCATATTTTAAGATCCTTACAATCTCCATGCTGGGTGCATTTATCTACAACTGTAGATGAAGAGCTTGCTATGAGGAGATATTTTAATTTGCCCCTTGTGATTATTGTTGCCATTCAATATGGCATAAGAATTAGAATTATTGTCTTATTCAGTGGGTGCCATATTTTGGAAAGGGTCATGTGTAAAAGGTTGCACAAATTGTTCAGGGCACAATACACATGAGCAGTAGACTGCTTCATGGTAACCCTTACTTAGGTGTTGGGGAAAATACACACTATTTTTTATTATTCTGTTGAATCCTCTGAGACTCCTTCCTTTGGTTAACATGTAATTTTTGAAAACTCTGCAATTGACTTTTCTCTTTTTGAGTTCCTTAGATATCAATTTAAGAGAATTGTGTTAAACATGTTGAAACCGTCATTCATTTTAGACAGAAGTATTACAATTGAAGTATTGAAATGATTATGGTTGACCAAATTTCTATTTTGAGATATTTAAATATCATTTTATATTAAAATTTGTGGATTAGTATTTCATTGTTGTTACTATTTTAGCAAACTGTGCTGTGTTTCAGTAAATTTTGCACATTTTCTGCAGGTTCATGACCTGCAGAGTGAACTTGATAAAGAAAAAGAAGATGCGGAAAAGAAAATTCACAAGTTTGAGGAGGTTGTGAAGTGAGTAAAATTGTAGTATACTTAATAAGGTTACTCTTACACTGAGATGTAAACCAACGGATAGTTAATTACTAAAACCTAAACATGATGGCTTTATAAAAGTCTTGCTTTTATAGTGGTTTGTGTTGCTTCTAGCATTAATTTCTTATTTTCAGCCATTTTAATTGTTGATTTCTTTTTGCAAAGAAAAATAAGCAACTGTCTTTAAGTGATAGTTATGTAAGAAGATAGAACTTAGTGGTTTCGATACTTTAGTAATCTTCAATGAAAACACATTTTAGCTCAAAAGTAAAATTTAGGCTTTTGAATAATTAGAAGTCTCTCTCAATATGTTTTAAGAAACTTAGTAATGGAATATTCCAGTTGTCATATTTGAAAATGAATTACTATGCAGGCATTATTGAGGAAAGATTTTGGTTTATTGATATAATGCTTAAGAGTACAGTAAGTTTCACATCTTCTTTTAACTATTTATTTGGTAGACTTTACCTACCACTGTGTTGTACCTTGCAGTGTCTAGCTGGAAAGAATAGATTTACTAAATAAATATCAAGTTCCTACTATGCGTCAATCGATGTGTGGAACATGTTAAAATAATTTATGCACTGTGGGATCACCAGATAAGTGTTTCTTTTAATCCTCACAACACTTACTGCTTATTTGCTCACATCCCCAAGTATGAGTAAGGTTAACTCAGGAGAGAATATTCGTTAAACATCAAACCTGTACCCTTCACTTGACTGATGGCAAAAGTAGGTATCGTGCTTTTCATGCATTGCTTCCATTAATTTCTCATTGTTTCATGTTTTCCTCTTTAAAATATTGATTAACTTTCTTCAGGAAAATATCTTTGTTAACTTTATTCAAATTATTACACCTGTTATTTTCTGTCCTGTTTTTGCCCTACCCTTCTGTGATTTCATCACTGTTTCTTCATTAAGTTATTTATATTCTACATTTCTAAAGTAAGGATAATATCTTTAAAAACCTGTAAGTGAAGAAATATTCAGTTAATGGATATAATGTTTATAACTATAGTGTCATACTAAAACATAAAATTTGGAATCCAAATTACAATGAAGTTCTGAATTATCTTTCAGTCCAGCTTAGGCACTTGAAGTACTAAGGGAAAGTAGATATTGCATTATGGACAGTAAGTACAATTAGAGTTCTGAAAGGTCTTTTTCATTGCAAGTTCATGTGTAAAGCTTGTAATGTGGCCTGGTAGGTAATCAAAGAACCCTGAAGTTGTTCTTATTTTTCTGTGTCTGCAACAGAATCCTTTTCTGAGCTGAGTATCATAATTTAGGGTTTGAAAGATCTTTGCCAAAATACTGATTTTTTAACTTGGAGTTGGAAGAAGCATGTTGGAATCTTAAATTCCCTGAAGACTTTTCCGCTTCTTGTGTTGAACATGTCTTCATTATTACTGAATGTCTGGGATGATCTTAAAATACATCATCTATTAAAACAAGAATAATCTACTACAAGTAACAGAGTAAGTTACTGCGTTGTCTGATCCTCAGTGTAAACAGCAAGCTGACAAGGAATATCGTTTTAAGAGGGGCAACTGCCACTGTCTTTGAACATAGAAATAACGATAGACCCAATTGTCCTGGACACAATTCCATTTTGTTAAGATACAGCTATAGGATGCAGAAAGTTGCTGTGCCTATTAGCAACATTTTTCTTTGATAAATATTCAACTAAGTGAAAAAAAAATCTGTTGTAGAGTGTGACAATATTTATTCATAAAGTTGTTTCTTTTTAATTCCTTTACATGCTGAATGTGTAGAAGATTTCAGAGAAATTAATATATTCATATAAATTCATACACATACAAATATATAATTACATGTGTGGGACAAAATTTTTTCAAAAACGTATAATTAGAAGAACAGCAGTAAGATAAAAGGGTAATGGGAGACATCTTAGAGAAGAAAAAAATCTTTCAGTTGTGAAGGCAGAATGCAGGAGAGAGAAACCACCCCTGGAGTTGGTTCTCCTCACTCCTTGAATCATTCTGGAGAAGCTAGCCTCCAATGATTGTTGTGTTCTGTGGATTTACAGACCTGCTCGCTCTCTCTCGCTCTCTCTGACCTTGTTATATTTCAGATAGGCTCTTCCCTTGAAATAGCTTGCCTCCTCCCCTAATGACGTCTAAGAGTCAAGGTTTTCTTGTAGTTTTTAAACCTTGGCAGAGAGGATATTGTTGTCACTTGAGACAATAATATGTGATGCTAACGGATAAATTGAGTGATTTTTTTTGACACAGTAGTTTCGTTAAATCCACAGTACCAACGCAAACTGGTTTGGAGCTCAAGCAGGTGCTGCAAAACCTATTGTTATTTGGGTAGATACTTTGCACTGCAGCCAACATTGCTTACTTAAGCATCTAATTCCTGAAAAGTAATTTGCTTCTTGCTATTGTTTCTAAAAAAGAAAACTAATTACTATTGCTGTTAATTTTTGTTCTACATTTATACTATTCATTTGCATCCTATTTCATTTTTATTGTAGAAAATAATTTTAATAGCTTTTGGTAACTGAAAGTTACTTCAAAGTAACTACAATGGTATGGATTATATATGTTCACTTTCCATTTTTCAAAGATTAAAGAAGTATTTGGGAAACTGAAGAATTGAAGGAATGAAAAATATTTAAAGGGTTATTTTAAAAGTTTATGGAAAAAAGTGTTAAAATCTAAGTTTTGTTTTGGTGCTAAAAGTGAAATTCATACAGACAGGTGTAACAAAATAATTTGATTTCACTTTTTGAAGGATTAACACTTAAAATGATACTTTTTACTTGGAGGGTATAAAAATCTGGCAACAGTAGGTGAAAATATGAGTCTACTTCAATGAGGTTTTGGGAAAATGAATTAATAATTTTTTGATGTCAGAAATTTTGAAATTGGTGCATACATTTTTTTTCATTACAAACATTCTCCATGAACTTCTTAAGGGCTTTTCATTGTATATGTCTGATTTATTTGCTTTCCAATGTTGTTTATTATCAAGTTGGATTTGTAATGTTTTAATGCTATATGGAATGTTTTAAAGTATGTGTGAAACTTTATATAATTGTTTTCTGTTTGGTAATGTTTTCAAAATCATTTGCAGCAAAATTAGGTGCTTTGAAACACACTCACTCTAACCCATTTTTAAACTTTTCTTCCATTATACATATTTTTCACTCTTACCATTACATTGATAAGCTATTATTTTGTTAATAATGAAAATATGTAGTTTCACTTGAATATATAATATTGACTTTTAGATCATACAATTATGAATGATCATACAAGAAGCAACCCCATATCTAAAACATGTTGTTTAGCTTTTAGTTGCTGTGTATAAATGTATCCATGAATGTGTATACCATGGATAAAACTTAAATTGCTTTTACTTTAAAAAAAAATGCAGAAAGAGTAAACAAATTGCATATTGGCCATCAGCTTTGCACAGAGGCTACTTGGCATAGTTAATTCAAAGTAGTCATTTGGTGTTGCTAAGAAGAAAAAAACATCTCATGAATACTGGGTATTTCATTTGTCTCTATTTTGATCAGCAGCTTGAAATCTGTTAGAATCACAGCATTTTAAAACATATGTATTCTCGCGTAATATGCATAGTATTTGTCAACTCCCATTATAATGGAAAAACATTATTTATTCCTTAGAATATATTTTAAATATGATATAATTTAAAACATGAGCGGATAGGCTCTCTCATAAGCTTTTTAAAAAAATCTTCATTTATCCTTGGTTGCTTTTTTGCTGTCATAAATCAGCATTTATAATATTAATAGGAACAGGGATTAATCCTCAAATAGAAATGCCCTAAGATATTAAAACTGCAAAATTACAATGGGAGTGTGTTTGTACTTTTTATTTAATAGACACAAAGTTTTATGGAAGGTGTACATGGAATATTAAGTGATCTTCTGATCCCAACAGGGCAACAGGGAGCGAACTGTACTTGGATTGCATTTGCTTTTAGTGAAACTCTGCCTCCTGCAAACTTTGGATGAGTTTGCTTTCAGAACAGCCTCCCAGTGTGCCTAGGAGCTGGACCTGGGAATCTTGCGAGGCTCAACTGGCCAAGAATAGGAATTTTGAAGTGCAGTCAAATAGTGTAATTCTAAATTTAGTTTTAAATTTTGCTAACATGAGGAACTGTGGTTTGGTGATTTTATTTGTAGAGTTGGTGAAAAATAACTCAAGAAATTAATAATGATATTTACTTTAAAATAGAAAAAATGAAGTAATGAGCTACGTAAAAAGAAGCCTATAAGGGAGACCTGTAAACCTGAATGATACATAGGACGATTTCTGTGCCGCGTTAAGTGGGTGAAAATCTCTTTGAAAGACGTTTGTTGCCTGCGGTTCTAAAAATTTTTTTCTTCAAAGATTAATTGTAAATATTTCTATGCCACAACAGACAAGTGATCTGTAATTAAACAATCTATGTGTGAGCTACTTAAGGAGGAAAATGAAATTAAAAGTTAAATTCATTTTGATGCAAATAATGGAAAAGCCTTGTTTTTATGCATTTTCCATGAGATTTTTGAGCTCCTACATATGTAAAGAGTGAGTTTGTAGAAAATTCTGATTTGTTTTTCTATTACTATTATTATTAACATTAGGAAAAGATGCAAAATATAATATTGTTCAGCCAAAATGCATTAGATTTTCATATCCATGTGTAATGTTTTTGCATGTAGGTTGAAATTGTCTTAAGTACCTTAGAATTTATGCTAGCATTCTATATTTATATTTTCAAAAATTATCAATTTCTGCTAATTTGCTGAATTTATTTTCAAAGTTTGTAAGTTATCTTGAATTTGCTGTGTGGATAATGACTATTACATATTTATGAAGTAACATGTCTTTCCATTTTCAGACTCTATTCCTTTTCCCTCTGCAATATTTATCTTTCTTCACTGACTAGAATTTCTGTTAGAACATTTGCTCTTGTAGTTAACGTAGACATTTGGTT